ACCTGGAACCTGAACGCCTCCCGCCTTGATCCCTCGCACCGCCCGGAGCCTGAACGCCTCCCACTAACTGGAGCCAGAACGCCCGGAGCCTGAACGCCTCCCACCACCCGGAGCCTTAACGCCTCCCACCACCCGGAGCCTGAACAGGGGCCCAACCAGAGGGGGCGGGGCTGCTGCTAGTGGCTGCAGCTGTCCACACACTCCTGGGCCCTGACGAACACCTGGTAGACGTTGACCAGGGGGAACATGGCCAGCGCGCCCAGCAGGGAGCCGGCCTGGATGGAGATGCCGCACCACAGCAGGGCGGCGTGCCCGGCCTCGTGCAGCAGCGTCCCGATCACCACCTTCAGGTAGGAGAAGAGGCCGGTGAAGCAGATCCAGGAGACCACCTGCAGGGGGCGCCAGAGAGCAGAGATCAGTCACCCTGCACAGCACAAACTGCAACCTGCTCTGGTATCTGATGAGAAAAGCAGCTCCTTTTTACTGGTTGCATTTAAATGCCAATCCAGTTTCACTTAAACAAAAAAAACAAAAACACAAACCAACAAATGGCAAAAATGCACCCCTGACAGAAATAAGAAAACAGGAAAAAACATCCTCATAATCCCAATCTCTTTAATTCTTCTTATATCAAGATTTTACTTGTGATGTTGGGATGCAGGGCATGAGAGCACAAAAATGTCCATTCTGAATGTGTCTGAATTTGTTTAATACAATCGACAAAGCTGACTGACTTGACTAATATATTTGAAAGTTCATACTTCCGCTCTTTTTCTTCTTATATTAAGCTTTACTGCTTTTTCTAATTTACATAACAAAGAATATGTATAGAATATGTTTGTTTGTATTACAGAATGGATAATACAGCCAAATTTGACTTTTAAATAGTCTATAGCTTCTACTTAGGCTCTTATCGTTTCTTATAATAAGACTTTTATTTCTACTTGACAGTACAAAGGAGGGCGTGTCCTGACCACTCACCACTAGCGCCACACCGGCCGAGCTGCCCAGCAGCGGCGGGCAGGGGCTGAGCGCCGCCAGCGCCATCAGGTAGGCCGCAAACACGCCAGCAGCCACAGACAGGAGGCCCAGACCCAGCGAAGACCTGCAGGACAAAGTTTCACCAGAATTTACCAGAAAGCCTCAGACAGGGACTAAAATTGAAGAAGAAATGTAAAAAATCTTTTGACTATTTCCCAGATTGTATTTCGCGGCAACTGGCAGTGAGAAAGCTGCTAAAAGCTGTTTTAATTCTCGCTTTAGCGCCGTCAATACGTCACTTCTTAAATTTTGAAATTGTTTTGATGCGAAAAAGTTGCTATTTAGATCCTTAATATGCGATTAGTTTATTCAAATGACGCCTGTTTGTAAATGTGTTCCGACGTTTTCATGGATTGAATTATAAAGTATATATATATATACATACATACATACACATCCATCCATCCATCCATCCATCCATCCATACATACATCCATCCATACACACATACATACATACACACACATATATATGAAGGAGCCCTTCTCACCTCAGCACCACAAACATGGCCAGGAAGCAGGCCAGCGGGTTGGCGATGTTGCCCAGCACCACCGAGAGGTGAAAGGTCATGGAGCTGTAGGGCAGGCAGACGAAGCTCTGCACCGAGGGCAGCACGCCGTTGGTCAGGCCGTTGGAGACGGCGAGCAGCAGCAGCAGGTAAATGTTCCTTCCCGTCCAGAAGGCGGGCGCCGGCGGGCTGTCCTCCGGCGCCGGCGGCGTGCCGCCGTTGTACAGCCGGTGCGTCTCCTCGCCGTCTTTAGCCGCCGCCGCTGTTGCCGCTTCCTCGCCGCTGGGCTCTGGCTCCCGCTGCTCAGCATCCGGCGCCCTGCGGGTCAGTGCCAGGAAGCTCAGCGCGGACACGGTCAGCATCACAAACAGGAACCAGAAGAAGTTCTGGGCGGGGAAGCTCTCGGCGAGGCGCACGGGGCTCTCGGTGCCGTTCACGCTGCGGCACTCCACCTTCCCCACGCCCTGGCCGAGCGCCACCACGCAGGGGAACAGGGCGCTCAGGCCCTGGCCCACGAAGAAGGTGCGGATGTACTGGGGCGGGTAGCGGAACATGAAGGGCAGGAAGGTGACGTTGGAGGTGCAGCAGACCAGCGCCAGCACGAAGCTCAGCAGCAGGAAGGCCAGCGAGCGCGGCTGCCCACCCACCGTTACCAGCTGGGACCAGGACAGCGCCAGGCAGGCCGAGGCCACCACCGCCAGCGCCTGGATGCAGTGGATGAGCAGGCGCTCGTTCAGCCGGCCCGGCGCGCAGTGGTGCGTCAGGGTCACCACGATGGGACCCAGGTTCCCCAGCGCGATGAGCACCGAGAGGTAAGCGGGCAGATTCCAGCCTGACGACACAGAAAAACCACAAACCAGGAGGGAAACGGTGAGGTTAGCAATCAGGACTGAATGCTGATGCGTCAAAATAAGCTAAAAACACAGAAAACACAGAGTATAAACCCATAAATGTCACAATGTGTCATTATTTATGTTAACATAAGTCACAATGATGGATGCACAAATCACTTAACAGGTTCAACTGAACTGTTTTTAAAGCAGTTAAATGTTGCTGTTTCAGTGGGAAAATAATCCATTAGACGGTAAATGCTCCTTTGACCCTCCTGTTGCTTGATTGTGTCTTAAGACATGAAACCTCATAAATAAAATTAAGAAAACTGCACTTATTTTCTTAAAAGACGGCAGCAGAGATGATCAAAACAAAGTCGTTTTGCCTCATTTCCCTTTATTATCACATTCTCTGATATTTAAAGCCTTAAATCTGCTTTCAGCGAAACAAACAGTGAGACATGTGTTTAATAATCTCATGCTGCCATCAAACGATTTCACGGCCTTTTCAGAAACAGATCATTGTTTTTTTTCCTCCTTAAAATGTCAAACCTCAGAGATCTGTGCTTTTTTTAAATGATGCAAAAAAAAAAAGGGAGGGATGTAAGGAATGATTATGGGGTTGTATAAGATAATAATTAATAATTAATAAAAACTGGAATGACTGGGACATTTGTGAGCAGTTTTGGCAGGAACGGTCGCGCAAAAATGACGTAACAGCTGTATTTATTATTATCTTTTAGCCAGTTGGGATGTTCATCAGTTGGCAAATAGTTATTTTTTCTTTTTTTTCTTAAATGAGGATAATTAATTTGTTTGATCCAATTTTCAAACGCTAAATAAAATTAAAATAAAACCACGCGGAAAGCACCAGGCCGGCGGAGCGTGCGCCGTCCCCCGGAGATGGACACTGACCTTCGGGCAGCACGTCGACAACCACCGGGAGCTCGACCCAGAGGCTGTTGACGGAGATCCAGGAGCCCATGGCGAACAGAGCCATCAGCCCGTGGGTCACCGCGGCGCTGCTCCACCAGCTGCCCGGCATGGCGGCGCTCGGTCGGGCAGAGAGAACCACGAAACGCCCGGACAAGGACCGACTTTCCTTTGAGCGGAGCGCCGGAGCTCCGCTGAGCCAAACGCCGCTTTAACCTGAGCCGGAGGACAATTACGCAAAGCTTCACGCCCCTCCGGATGCATTCAGGGACCCTCGTAACTTCCTGAATCGCTTTTATAAACATTTAAATTGTAAATGTAGCAGCATCTGTTCATCAGCGAGGTTGATGTTTATATTCTACTCATAGCTTAGTGTTCTTAAAGGCATAATTGTATGTAGTTTACTATCTTTACATTATATTATTATTTTAAAAATTGCAGTTATGATTCCGGTTATGGTCATTTACCTATACGATATAAATTCATTCTAAAACTTTAAGTAATCTTGTAATATATCTAAAGTGAAAAAACTGATATCGTCACAGTATTCAATGATTGGCTGTTTGAATATATAACAATAAATAACTGCGTTTTTAAGCTAAGCTTTGTAAGCTTTGTAAATCCTGCATTCTGGTGACAGTGAAGGCGTCGCCAGCTGAAGGCCGTTGATAACGAGCTGCCGTTTAAAGTTACTAGTTCTCTATCTGTTGGAAAAGTTATGCAAAGAAAAAAAAAATCTAGGTCAAAGTGCAGGAATGCTGGTGGGGAATGGGAACACTGGGAAGACTAATTACCCACCGATGTGGATCCCACTCACTTTGGTTCTTTACCAAGGAGGTAAGAACAGTTTTCTGTAAAGATGCTTTGAATAAATCAGTGTGTTTAAAGCTTTTAATGATAAAACAGTGAAAAGCTGTTGATACTTTCTTTATACTTCACCTTCTAAGCAGCCAGACATTCTTTAACCTCTTTAAAGTGTGGCTTAGCAGCAGCTTTCTGCGTCTTTGTCTGCTTCTTCTCTCGTTTTCAGTCCTCGTAGCTGAGCATTTTCAGAGGAATGTGTTTTTTCTTTGTTCAGCATCTGAACTTTGAGTCATTCAGGCAGAAAAAAAGGCCCGTAACTCAAGGGATGAGCCAGCGCTGTGTCCAATCAGCAGTTTAGAGTGGATCTTTAGGCTCTTTGTCAGCAGCAGCCTGTCACAGAGACACATCATTTGTTCCATTTCTGTAGCTGATGGAGGGAAAAGGCCAAAGAAAACACAGTCTGACAGACAGGAAACAGGATTTCTGAGGATTCCTAATCGAGCAGATAAAGAGGATCTGAAAGTGACGCCCTTCAGAAAGAGGAACAAATCCAAAGGAAAGCCAACCCCCAAAGAAGAGCTTTGTGGTATCCTACACTAGCCTTCATAATTCAAACTTTAAACACCCATTTCCCTGTTTTTTGGAGTTAAAGAAACACAGAACTATACATCCAGATTGATAAATCTTTATAAGGCACTCTTATACAGTGAAAACAACTGTTTGATCTGATAAAGCCCATGCTTTCCCTTTTCCTTCATCCACAGTAACAGCATGATAATGAGGTCATTATTACATCATAATAATGATGTCATTACCTTTGATAAAACCACAATGATTATGCAAAAATAACAAAAATGAACGAGTGTCTCGTTTATCAGTGAGCAGGAGGAATAAATCAACCTTTGCAGAGACTAAAATTGAGTTTATTAAAAAATAAAACAGTACATTAAAAGCCATAATTCAGACATATTTAAAAAACAGAAGTTAGTGGAGCTGACTCAGGAAGGCCGGCTCTGTCCTGGGGGTCCAGCTGGACTCTGTGTGGGTGTCTGAGAGCAGGATGCTGTGAAAACTGCACTGTTTGCCACCAGCTGCTGATCTCTGACCTCCAGCTAAAGCACCTCCAGTTGAAGCAGACTCATTACCTACCTCTGGAACAGTCTGGATCAGGGGTGTCCAGCTCCAGTACTCTCTGGGCTTCTGTCCTGCAGGTTTTACAGGTTTTTCCTGTTTCAACACACCTGATTCACACCAAAGTGCCAGCAGGAGGGTGAAAAGCTCAACAAGTCCAGAGCGGGTCCAGTTTAATGAGAATAAGTGGTGCAGAAGCAGGAAAAAGTATAAAACCTGCAGGATAGCAGCCCAAAGAGGCCTGGAGTCTGACCCCCCTGCTCTAGATAATGTGTCCTGAACACTACATTTGACTAAAAAAACATGTTTATTCCTTATCTGTTTTATTTTGAAAAGGCAGCTAGATTTTTTTGCACTGCTCACTACTTTAGTTGCATTTACTTATTCTAACCCTGTTTCGCAACCTCTTCCCCTTAGGGTCAACAAAGCGTTTTGAATTTTTTATTTGAGTCTAAAATCCTGCGGGTGGACACCCACATGGACCTCCTCCTGCGTTCTGCTTCCTGTGCATGGCCCCCTGAGGGGGTCACGTTTTCGGGTCGGCGTCTGCTGGAGGCTCAGCCGCCGCCGCCGCCGCCGCTGCTGCTGCAGCCGCTGCTGCTGCTGCCGCTGCTGCCGCTTTGGCTGTGGACTTTTTGGGCGCCAGCACCAGGGAGTAGCCGGGCTTGACTCGGGGAAGGGCAAACTTCAGCTTGATGGCCATCTGGGAGCTGCTGAACAGCTCGCCGCTCAGGTGGGGGCTGGCGTTGCCCAGGACCATCTTCTGGTAGAGGAGCTCGCAGCGGACGCCCTCCCGCTTCTCCCAGCGCGACTTCCCCTCCAGACGCAGCATCATCTTGTCCACGTCCTGCCTGGTCTTGCAGGGCCCCCCGTTGCGGGTCACCGTGGCAACGATGTAATCCCTGTCCATGATGTCCTCGCGCTCCTCCCGACAGACCCGCCTGGCCTTCTTCGTCTGGGGGCTCTTCTTCGCCGGCTGGCTGGAGGACTCCTCGGAGCTGCTGCCCGAGGAGTCGGAGGCGGACTCGTCCTCCTGGGAGCTGTCGGACAGCTTCTTCCCCGGGGAGCCGTCGGCCATCTTGTAGGGACTGGCGTGGCCGAAGGGGTACTCGGCCATCAGAACCGAGAAGGTGCAGCCCGCCAGCTTCTGGCTGGCGTCCCCTGGCGGCGTCCCGGAGAAGGCCCCTCCCGGCAGGAAGTCCCCGAGGTGCTGCTGGGTGACGGCCGCTATGGCCTTGACGGCCCTCTTCAGACAGGCCCTGATCAGGTCCCTGTTGGTGTGCCACTGGCCGCAGTACTCAAACACCCCCTGGAAGCGCTGCTCCTGCAGTGGGGGCTGCTGGAAGACGTCGGTGGCGTCCTCGGGCTCCAGCAGCGTGGACGGGTCTTTGGACCAGTCCAGGAACCTCTGGTAGAGGCCCAGCAGGCGCCGGCTGAACAGCGCGTACTCCCCCCCGCCGCTCAGCAGCTGCCAGTAGGGGCCCAGCACTTTGCAGTGGACCACGGCCAGCACGCACACGAAGCTCTGGATGGCGCCGTCGCCGGCGTCCGCCGCCACGCTCTCCAGCACGGCGTTGGGGCAGCCGTCGGCGGCCATCGACTGCAGGTCGGAGAGGAACAGCCCCACCTCCCGGTGGTGGTGGGTGAGGCCGGCCGCCGCCTCGAAGAAGCCGGCCACGCGGTTGGAGCGGCTCGACGCCAGCCGGGACGGGTTCCCCTTCTCCTGGCAGAACTCCAGCCAGTGGCGCCGGAAGCTCTGCCTCCCGGGCGCCCGCGGGCCCAGCAGCTCGGCCGCCATGAGCACGTAGCGCTGCGTGGCGCTCTCCTGCAGGCTGACGAAGCCCTGGAAGTGCGGCAGCCGGTCGCGGCCCAGCTTCTCCCCCCTCAGCCGGATGACCTCCCCCTCGAAGCCGGCCACCAGCCGCTCCAGCGCGTCGTGCACGTCCACCAGGAAGCAGGCGTTCTGGTGGAGGAACCGGACGGGCGGGAGCAGCTGGGCGCCGGCGTGGCGGGCGGCGCCCAGCTGCTGCTCGAAGGCCAGCATGGCCGGGTGCTCCCGGCAGGTCAGGGCGTACTGGTTGCGCAGCAGGTCCAGGGAAACCTGCCGGCAGGCCGTCGTCTTCCCGCCATACACGCTGGACAGCTTCTGGACAGACAGCATGGCCATGTCCAGCAGGGTCAGAGGCTCCCCTACGCCCCCCATCTCCTCCTCCTCCTCCTCGCTGTCGGCGCCGCCCGACGCCGTTCTGGACTCCGCCTCCGGGCTCTCGCTCTCTCTCCCACAGCTGCCGGCGTCGTCCCTCCTCGGCCGTTTCCTCACAAAGAACTTGGGGGTCTTCTTCTTGACCAGCTCGAAGGGCGTCTGCAGCAGGGTTTCCATGGCCGTGTTCCTCCGGTGGCTCCTGGTTTCATAGTTTAGGAAATGCACCCTCAGCTTCTTTATCCGGCCCTTCAGGTGCTTGTAGGCCTTCTGGATGTCGCCCTTCTTGCAGAACTCTGGGTTGAAGTTCCTCAGCCAGGTTACTATGACGATGGGGGATATTTTCTCCCTGTTGACGAAGTTGACCAGCTCGAGGATGAGCCCGTTTGTGACCTCGATGGACTGGGCCCGCTCAGAGAAGTCCCGGAGCTCCAGGAGGTGCTGCCGCTCCACGCCGATGCTGTCGCAAATGGGCCCCACGAAGTTGAAGTTGACCTGCGAGTCCAGGAAGCCGAGCCTGGCTGGACCCCGCAGGCTCAACGTCGTGGCCACGCCCCTTTCGATCAGGCGCCGGAAGTCGGCCGACTGATGAGCGGGAAAGATTTTCTTCAGCCAGCCTACGATGGCTAACCAAGGGAAGTTATTGTCCTCTCTAAGAAGTCCCACTTGAATCAAGACTCTGTTCCTGCAGGCCGACGGGTCCAGGTCCAAACCCTCGCCAGACTGGGGGCCGACGAAGTCCGACACAAGCTTCCAAAAGTACTCGTCTCCTGAAAGCAGGGAAGTTTGTCATGGATCAGAGGATTTATGGCTGATTTTTGTGTCTCTGCTGGAGCCGGACTTACTCAGGTTAACTTCGGATACAACGGGTTTCCCATCGAGGGAAAAATCCTGACCTTCCTCCATTCTGGGCTGTTTACAAAAGACATAAATCAGGAAAAAACAGAAATGTATAAATGACCCATAAACAAGGCAATATACTTGTATATATGAATGCATCAGAAAAAAAACTAATAAATCCTTAATTTGCAGATATAATTACATATCATCGTATAAAATATCCAATTTCTTTACTTTACATGTTGCATAATCTAATTGCAGTTTTATTTTCTGCATTTTATCTTAATTTGACTGTTAATCTCATGTTTTTCTTCCATTTATAATTGCAATCGGATTTTCCTTCAGGTTCTTTCAGGGCATCAGATGA